TCGAAAAAACAAAAAAAAAAAACAAAAAAAAAAAAAATGAAGAATCATTAAAAAAAAACAAAAAAAAAAAAAAAAACTAATAATACAAAAAAAAAATAGGACTGACTAGAAAAAAGCAAGAATAAGGGCAAAAACAGAAAGAATAAAAAAAAAGAAAAGGCTGTGAAAGTAAGGCTACCAGATGGGCAACCAACACCGACCAAATTAACAAGAATCAGCAAAAGGAAAGGAGTAGAATGGGTACTGAAAAAGCACCGGAAGACTTCCGAACAGAGAGAAATGGGCAACAAATTCCTCAAAAAAGCCCTGCCAAAAAGCACCAAGGGGAATCATAAGGCGGCAAGGGCTACTCCATTACAATAGGGCCTTGGCTGCCAATTGACAACCTGGAAGGACCCTCAGTCACAGGTCCACCAGATAACATCGCTAGGACGCTTTGCCCTTCTTCTTCTTCTTGTTCACGGCATCCGGATCGGGCTGGTGGTCTATCCTTTCCACAATATGCAACATCCATTTCAGCATTTGGTTGTTCTGCATCTTGGCATGGGCTTGGCACGGGCATCCTGAACTCAAGCTCTGAGGGCATTGTAGCGCCTTCGGCATGCATTGGACCAACCTCTATACTGGCATTGCCCACCTTTGGAGTTTGAAGTACTTGGTATGCAAACTTTTTTTTCTCCGATGTCCTTGCTCCTCTTGGGGCAGTCCATTTCTTTCTGCAACAGTCATTGTTCCAGGCTGAGAAGCAGAGGTTCCATCTGAGTGTAGGAGTTTCTCGTAGAGAGGAGGGTCATTGCCTCAGATACCTGGAGGAACACACAGCTTTCCCTTCCACTTGGCCACACTAATCAACGTGGTCTGTGGCGGATTGACTCCCTAACCAGCTGGATGCACCAGCAAAACATGGCAAAAGCTTCTCGTGTAAAGGGAAGAATGAGCTTGATTTCCTCATCGCGCTGCCTTTTCTTGTGCACTGGCATCTTGGGCAAGGTCTTAAGAGGAAACCTCCCGCATCACCACAGATTTGAGCTGTTCCGGAGTTGCATCTTGTCTAGTCCATGTGCGCACAATAGTCCTCGGTCCTGATGTTACATCTGGTTCACGACGAATGTGCGTTGCTCGTTCATGATTTACCGTGATAGCATCTTTCCAATCGGCAACCCATGCGGCGCGCCTATCCTCATGATCACTGTAAAGAAAGAGAAGACAAAGGTCCAGATTGGTCAGGGTGCACTGGGCAATTAGACAACCAAAAGGTTCCCTTCGAGTAGCGAGAACTTACCCTTGTCCTTCTTACGCGTCGCCGGTCAACAAGAAGGCCTTCTTGCCAGTGCGATCCAGTACAAGATAGGACAATGGCTTCCTCCGGTTTCTCGCTGCTCTAAACTTCTTGTCCAATCCGAACGGTATTCTTCTTGAAACAGCCGGAAGCTGTCATATATTAATCATGACTGCCCCTTGGTGTTCGTTACCAAGGGAACCTACTTCCAGATCAAAGTTAGTCAGGTTACCCATTCACTCAATCAGGCTGAAAACTTCCTTGTGGCTTCCTCATTGCTTCTTTTTCTCCTCTTCGTACAAGCTAATGTAGTAATGACCTTCTCACTATCTTTAAGAACTCCACATGCTTGTCATGGCTCATCTTTGTCTCTACCAATCATATCGAGACTTCCTCTGACGCGTTGCCTCGACCGGGGAGTTACCCTTTCTTCTTTGGATCTCTCCTTTTACCAACTCAGTTGTGTGGACTATCAAGATGGGATGTGCGACTCTTTTCCTTCCCAGAATGAACCTGCTTGGATAAACGGAACGCGTGGAAGGTTTGTCTAGTCTGGATCTAGTAGCGTGGAAGTACTCCACGCTGGCTAAATATCTAGAGCGATGTTTCATCATCAACCTAGTATGACCAGCGCAGTCATTGAGAACCCTGTCTCAAATGACTATTCACGAGAGACTCAGTCATGAGTCGAACTCAAACCCTATCTAGGATCGAGTCGCGAATAAGGCTAAGAGCCGTGTATTGCAATATCACAAATCTGCAATTAGAGAATCAAGTCAGGGTCAGCGTGTACCGACCACCCAGCTGCCTATTAAGAATGTCAATATTCGCTGTCCATTCAAATTCAATATATATTGGAGTGAAAGCAATAAATGATGGTTCCTGCCCCGTCAACAATTAGGAAATTCTCAACACAGTGGTCACATGCATCGTTCACCAGAAATTATCTCCACGTTGACCAAAAACCTTCCGGAAATTGAGCGACAAATTGGGCAGAATGTCATGGAGCAGCATGCTACATGTGCTATCACACAGAATATCAGTCGAAAGAGAACTGGAATTACAGTCAGCCATGATCAAATGAAGTATCTCAGAAAGCAACAGAAAGCACTAGCTCAGTCTGCAATGATTACATCCTTGGAAACCAAAAGTGGCTGCTCAATTGACCAGGAACAGATCCGAAATACCAGAACCTCCATTCTTTGATAGCACGGAGGCGTATGGACGATCCTGCGAAGCTTCAGTGGGGCATCTATGAAAGTAGATTGCAAGAACCTCGATTTTTGGACGTATGGTATCATCACTAGAGGGTGGATCATGTATGAATTTGTATTGGATGATGGGCTGCATACAAATTTCTCCCAACTTTAGGGATGTCCTTATCCAACTTGTAACAGGAGTTACAGAATCCATATGTTGATTCGCCCGATACAAAATTGCATTGAGTGCATGTGAACTTTCGAAAGGCAGAATGTAGAGGATTGGTAGCATCCAAAGATTTCTTCAGTTCTGACACTGGTCTGTGGCTCTTGCAGTGGATAGGATTCATCCCCAACTCTCTGCACACAAGGAACATTGCATCTTCAATACGCTTCCATTCAGGTTTGCAAGCAGTGTTGATATTCTTTTTCAAGTTGGCTTTCTTCTCTGAATCTTCATAACATCGATCCTGTACAATTGCACAGGAATCACGTCGATCCTGTACAATTGCACAGAAATCACGTCGCCTGTACAATTGCACAGGAATCACGTCGCCTGTCAGGCCAAAATTTGACTGCAGGCTGGCTCTCTAAAAATCCTTTTCATATGCACAGGCTGTATGTAGTGCTCTCTACCTCCTGTCCTACTTGGAGTACAGGGGAGTAACCAAGACAATGAAAAAGAGAGAAAGCGGAGCGGTACTAGCAAAAAGCATCAGGATCGAAGGATTGAGAATTGAGAGTCCGAGAGTCCTGCTGCTTTGGTAAGCACCTTGCTCCAAATGGTTTAATGTTAATTATGTCACTTCAAGTAACTTAAATACCTATTGCACAAACAGTACAATAAAAGTAAAGGGACCTGATAATATAAAACTAGCATTCTCTTGAATTTCCCCAAGCTGAAGACATTCAAACCTGACTTTTGACCATTTAGGAGTTAAAGCTGAGTTTCTTTTCAGAACATACTACTACCATGTAGCTTGATGGCAACGTGCAATCGAGCAATCCAACACCATGTGGCTGTGGCTCCAGCACTTCTCCCCGTGACCTGTAGCAAAAACAAAGACGGCCGCATTGTTTTCCCTAGATATTGACGAAGCACAATCCTTTTGGCTGGCATCACATGGCATCGCTGATGCATTGCTGTGAGCTATCGGTGCACAGCCCGGCATTTAAATCTTTCAGCTCTTGAACCGTACCGTATGCAATTGCCTACCAGCAATGACAAATTTCCTTCCCCAGGAATAATAATCTTCATCAATGGCTGCATTATTTCTATAAATGAAGCAACTAGCCTGGCAGTTGCCTCACAAAAACATACGCATAATTCCCAAAACATACTCATAATTCCCAAATCCTCCGTGTTGCCAGCAGAAAAAGTGCTTTCTGATCATCTGATCACCATAAGACTACGAAAGAAAACTGAACGTCTATTTTAAAATGGATTCAGACAAGATGTGCTTGAGGACGACCACGAGCCGAGGCCTATTTCCCACAGTCAAGTCTGCTCACTGGTCATCATAAGACTACGGTAGAGTAGTGGTGCTATCCACAGTCTGAAACTTTAGGACCTCTCTGGAGTACTGTATCATCACAAAACAACATGTCCATGGCAGTTAGCGCTCTCAATCATGGCCTTAGTATCTCAGTCTAGGGTACCAGGTACCAGTACCAGGTATTTTTCTGTGCTGCTGCTGTGGAAGAGGTTTGGTCGGGTGTCACAGCTACCCACGCAGTTCATGTTAGCCTCAGCGTGTTGTTGGCTTTTCCACGACGCGCCCGAATCTAATCGAATTGAATCGAATGATTGAATCGAATGATTGAATCGAAGTGATCGAACTGGTCGAACACCAGCCGATTGAACTATATATAGGGGGTTTTAGAGTAGGGAAATTATCTACGGAAGCCGGCCTGGGCCAGGCTTAAGCAAAGAACAGTCGAAATTCAGGACTAGGTTCTGTGGGATCAGGGGCAAGAAATTGAGGACCATTACGGGGGGCAAAGGGTTTGGCTTTGCGGGATCCACGGAGACATAAATGGGTAGCTTTCACAAGGGCAATTGAGATACGGGTCTGCATGAAGAACATCATTTGAGAGTAGGAAAATTGAATTTTGGAGGCAGTAGCAGAAGCAAGGCGTTGTAAGAGAGTGATCCGCAACTCGGGTGATCGAGGCCACCTTCCTGTACCGGTAGACAGCATGTATGCATGCATGTACCACAAGTTCGTAAAAATCGTCTATTATCTAGTATCAGTAGTATGGTACCGGTAGCAGCAAACAACCAGCTATGATTGATCATCAGTTTTTATTATTTTATTAAAACGAGAAAACTAGACCTCAACGTAGAGGAACTGTTTTTGTAGCTCATGACTGGTTGGTTGGGTCCACAAATAAATGCAAAAAGATAAAAAGCCATGAATGCAATGCAATGGATTGTGATTCAAGAAGAAGAAATAGGCAGCAACACATTCGTTCCTTGCTTTGCTGTTGCTTGGTTTCTGCCCACTTCCATTTTGTATGCTTTACTCGGCAGTCGTCTCCGTCTTCTTGTTGACATGAGCCTTTTGAATGAGTCCAACAAAGGGTGGACTGGGATGCAAGGGTCTCGATTTGAATTCGGGATGGAACTGAGTACCCACATAGTAAGGATGCACGTCGAGTGGCAATTCAACAATTTCCATGCGCTCTCCCGTTTCATCTCTTCCACAAAAGACAAGTCCGGCATCTTCCAAATCGGGCACGTACTGTGGATTGACTTCGTATCGATGACGATGCCGTTCGGATATTTTGGGAAGACTGCCATAAAGTCCCTGGAGTTGACTGGAAAAGTCGGCGTGTTTGGGACTGTAATGCAAATGAGCCGTTTTCTTTTCTTCTTGTGTCGTGTCAGTAATCGTATCGGGACGCGTCATGAAAATCGTGTCGCGTCCTCCCAATCGCATAGTGCCTCCCATGGTGGTGGGATCGACTTCGGGCATGAACATGACAACGGGATGTTTGGTATTTTCATCCAACTCGGTGGAATGGGCATCCTCCCAGTGGCAAATGTTCCGCCCGTACTCGACGACCATGGCTTGAAATCCCAAACAAATTCCCAAAAATGGAGTGGCATGCGTCCGACAGTATTCGGCAGTCAGTACTTTACCGAGAAATCCTCGATCCCCAAATCCACCGGGCACGACAATGCCTTGGGCGCGTTTGACCTTGTCCCATGCTTGATTGTATTGTTCCTTGTCGTTGTCATTATCGCTGTCATTTTCTTCCAAATGCGCCGCTTCGACCCAGAGTAGTTCTAGATTCAGTCGCTGCGCAATGGATGCATGCTTGAGTGCCTTGATGACGGATAGATAGGAATCCTGCAAGCCCGTGTACTTGCCAATGAGTGCAATGACGACGGTTTCTTCAAAATGTTCGAGAGAGCGTGCCATGTCGGCCCAATCACCCAATTCAGGCGCAGAAGTAGCCCCCAAATTCAACTGCTTTTGGAGAATGGCATGCAAGTTTTGTTCTTGCAACAACGTGGGTACCAAATAGACATTTTGCACATTGTGGACTCCCAGTACATGCGTGGGAGGAACGTGACAAAAGTTGGAAATCTTGTCGCGCGTAGCTTCCAACAGTGGTTGTTTGGAACGACAAAAAATGACACTGGGAGACAATCCCAACGATCGCAGATCCTTGACGCCATGTTGCGTCGGTTTGGTTTTTTGTTCTCCCAAATAGGGCACCAGCGAGACAAATGCCAAACAGAAATTGTCATGCCCCACTTTGAATTGGAACTGTCGCAGCGCTTCCAAAAAGACGGACGATTCAATATCGCCCACGGTGCCTCCCACTTCAATCAGACAAATATCGGCGACGCGACCGGGATGTTTGGGATCGACGGGAATATGCGCCACTCGTTCCATCCATTCTTGAATGGCATTGGTAATGTGCGGCACCACTTGCACCGTCTTGCCCAAATAATCGCCGCGTCGTTCGGCGGCAATGACTCGCGAGTACACTTTGCCAGTGGTCAAATTGTGATCGGCCGTCAAGGAAATACCGAGAAAGCGTTCGTAATTGCCCAAATCCAAATCCGATTCGCCGCCATCTTCCAAGACAAAGACTTCGCCGTGTTCAAATGGACTCATCGTGCCGGCGTCCACATTCAAGTAGGGATCAATCTTGAGCGCCGTCACCGAGTAGCCGCATGCCTGCAACAACCGACCCATGCTCGAAATCGTAATGCCCTTGCCGAGACCACTCACGACACCGCCTGTCACCACAATGTACTTCATCTTCTTCTTTGTATCACTATCAGGAGTAGCAGTAGACATGGTCAATCTCGTTGTTCTATTGGATGGCTGGCTGGATCAAACTAATTGTGGTTACTACTGGCTATGGGTAGCTAGATGTTTGGTTGGATGTGTGACACCCGACAGGAATTGAAGGATCGGAATTCTTTTGGGTGGCTTCCAATGATCATTTTTTTCGCGCCAATACTGAGCCACGGACCAGGGACAGACACGTAGCGTTAGATTGCAGAGCTGTGAAAGCTGCTATGCCAGCAACCCAAACAGGATGACGACGACGAGCTTGGCTAAGGAATTTTTGGGCGCCAATGCCAGATCCATGGCCATGGAGTGCTGGCACTTCATTCATTTATTTATTTATTCAATAGTCCATAGCTAGCTAGATGTTGTAATGATGGAAGTTACTTTCATCATGAAACAGATCAGGATCAGGATGGCAACATATCCACCAAACCGGGCTCGACACCCAACACAAGCAGCGCAATACGACTTGACTCGAGCGATTTGAAGACTACATCGTGTGGAGGACTCCCAGCCAGCAGAGCAATCGCCTAAACCTTCCTCCATGTCGCTCATTCTGCATGGCATGGGCAGTTATTAGTGCACTGCCTGGGACAAGTATCTATCTACCACCGTACCGAAGCAAGCAAGCAGGTACACCTCATTGTGCCGTGTTGGAACGATACCGTAGCCACTAGAGTAACTGTTGGAGAACAGTGTGGGATTGTTGGTGATATCTAGCTAGCCAGCTAGATAGCTTGTGGCTGCGCCATCAAAGAGCAGTTGGAGCCCAAACACTGCACTGAGCAGCCAGGGTGGGATGGTGGGTACTACGGTACGGTAAAAACAAAGTGAACGTCTATTAACGGATTGGATTCAGACAAGATGTGCTTGAGGACGACCCACGAGCTGAGGCCCGAGTACTTCCCCCAAAGTCAAAGTCTGCTCACTGGCCACACTAGCCTCCTGAGAGGGCGCAACTCCTATCAGCTATCTAGACTAATGGTTTGTACACTGAGGTCAGAGCAATGATTCACCACAAATCATGAGCACTTTATTGAAGAGAGTGGGTTACAAGAAGATTGGAGGGGGTAGGAGGGGACAGAATGGGTACTATGGTACCGTAGTACCCTAGCTACTCCCCAGCCAAAATGAGGAAAGGCGCAAAAATGGGGAAAACCTCTGGAACGCTTTGGAACCAAATATTAATTCCAACCTGAATGTCCCTGGAAGCATGACTGGAGGATGACTTTGTGATCCAAAAGCAACCAACTTCTGGTTACCAGATCTCAGTCAATATCCAACTAATTGACCTAGCTACATGTAGTTGTTGAATGGTATTTGTCAGCAATAATGTTGTTTTGAATGTCATTGTCTTACTTTGTTGAGATAGAGTAGTGGATAGTGTCATATTGGGTGTTTACTAAGAGGGGTCATTTTTGCACCAATTATTTCTAAATGTAGGGTATATTTGGTGCAGTGTGTCTTAATGCCAAGGTGTAAAGGGCGACTGATCTTCATGCTTCTAGGTGATGTTAGGTTGCCTGTTAAATCCAGTTCATTTCATACACGCAATCGAGGGACTAACGCCATCCCTAACTCTCTCTCGCGCCTGCAGCCAGACCAAAGTGACAATGGAGCATGTATGTGTGGATGTGTGGTTCCACTGTAATTGGGCTCGTGTCAGAAATTGCAAAAGGAGCACGAGCACTCCTCCATGTCCAGTGATACTGTACTCTAATGCACTTTCAAAGAGACATCTATGACACAAAAGCGATTTAAGATCTTGTCAAAAAATTTATTAATGAAAATTAATGGCCATTCTCCCATGCTACTCGAGCACTGTCTTTATGTCTTTATAAAATATTTTAAAAGAACTTCTCCAATGGTGTTTTTGTTACCGAGCACACGAGCAGCTATTATTCCGGTAACAGTCGGGTACCAGCTACCGGTTGTACGTATACGTGGTTTCAAGGTGTCTACATGTCAACATAGCTCCACATCAACTTACTAGCTAGTACTATGTACGTTCAAAACTCTCGCTGGAACCTGGATGGAATCGAATCGAATCAAATCTACTAAGCTATCTACTAGCTAGTAGATCATCTACATGTACCTGGTATCTGTGATCTTCACTTTCCTCTTTCCACCTCGCAGGCTCAAACAGATATAAGGGGCTACGGCAAAGGAACCGCTTTTCTCCCAACTTTGTGCTCCTATCGTATCTCTCGTTGATCGGCGCTTGCTCGGTTGGCATAAAACGGAGCTGCTTTTCCTCTGCTTTTCTTTTGCCAGACCTTTGACAAAGATTCAATTGTGTTCTGCCTTAGCTAGCTATCCTATTCATCCTCTCAGTTATGATCAACAGAAATCCATCAGAGACCCTGGAAGCTGATGTTTTGCAAAGCATTGACGAATTCTGTGATGCCGAGACAGGAGGTGCTTTCAAGCAGATACTCCTCCAGCAACTCGAGAGGCGCGAGTTGGACCCATCCATGATCCTTAGTGACCAAGAAACCCAGTGGGCACTGGAGCTGAAGCAGGCCGTAACGTCATCCAATGGTGAGGCCCCAGTCTTCAACGACATGGACTATGCCCAGCATGCAATTGTTGCATCTGGCGACATCCAAGAGGCACTTGCCCGCGTACGAGGGATGCAGCTTTTCCACAAGAAACATGGCATTGACCACAGCTGCAAACAGATCATCTTTTATCTGAAGGGATTCTTAAGGCAGTATCCTGGATGCTTGTTGCACTTGGACAATGACCCACTCTCATTGGAGAGTGTCCTTGTGTTTGAGACGACTTGTTTGGGTGGACTATCTGCACTTTCCCAATGGGAAAACAAGGGCGGTACTACAGGCCCAGGGTACAGTTGGAAAGTATGTGTAGTTGGGTTGTACTACTTGCTCTACTTGTTGCAACCAAGCTTTTCATCAAGCCGGAAAGGACTACTTCTTGCTGTGGACTGCCAAAACGATGATTGGGACGACTCCACCAAGCAATTTGGCCAGTGCATGCTCCAAGAACTCTTGCTTTTTTTGCCAGTGAATTGCAGAGGAGTCATGGTGTTCAACACATCCACAGTAGCAAACTTGATGATCAGCACATACAAGCCTTTCCTGCCAAGAAACATAAGAGAAAACGTTTTCATGATGATGGGGTCTGAGCTTCAAAAAGGATTCAACGGCGGCACCACTACGAGCCTCCGAGAACTTTATGGTCAACCTTCTCTGGCTGAAACCGAAGAAAGGGCTCTGCGGAGGGCAGTCACCCTCAAAGCTTTGCGGTCTTGCAATGAGAAAGTGTTCCAGTTGGATGCGTGCTTCACCTCTTCCTAATTTGATTTCTATCCAAATCTGGCTACGGCGTGTGAAGTGATTATCAAGCTATTTATTTGTAACTAGCAGCATCCAGTGTCTTCGTGAACTAGCTACTAGCTAGGTAAAGTATGTGATGATCGGGCCACGCATAACAAGGAGCAAGCTTGCTGCTTCGATAACCAGAACATGTTATGCATAGTAGATTGTCGGGCTCGTTTTTTGCCTGCAGATTGTAGGAATTTCGCTTTCCGATAGGTCATCTTTTCACTGGCTCGAATCGAATCGAATCAGAATCGAATCATCTATCATACACGTGGCAACCATCATGTACCGCTACCGGTAGATTGAATGAATATTACAAATCCATGAATTTTATTTACAGCTCCCAATGGCTTCTTTCAAAACTCCGCATTCGTGACTGTACCGGTACCGGTAAAGGTCTTCGAGCATCGGCCTCAACCTCGACCGTGACACCACAAACCACAAACCACAAACATCGCCTGGTCTTTGTTATTACAATCATGGACTGGGTGCATTCAGCGCAGGGAGCTCGAAATCATATTTGCGGCCTCGAGTGGAGCATGTATGAGGGTGATATAGAGGAAGCATTGCGGCGGTTTAATGGCGATCGCAACGGTGGCAATGTTGCCGAGAAGAAAGACAGCGAAGGAAGGTATCTTCTATGGGAGGGTATCGATGAAGCTGCGTCGTTGCGTATCATAGAGATGATAGTACAACAGGCCCCAGATGTGCTGAAAGAAGCCGATTCAGAGTACGGTCAGCTTGCCCTGGCCAGGGCAATCACCGAAGGACATCCTGACGTGAATGTGCTTCAACTGCTGGCAACACAGTATCCAGCTGCCTGTACACACAGAGATCGGAAAGGCAGAACCCCAATGGATATCCTAGAGGAACAGAAAGAACGAAATCCATCCTTTTACACAGATGATAGATATGAAAAAGTGTGCAAAATTCTACAAAGAAAATGAGAGGAGCAATTCGGCTTCCTTCGAGGTTACCGGTACCGGTACATCAGACGTGTTCTGGTACCTAAAAGGGGACATCCAAGCAAAAGTCAATTCCATAGTCTATTCGTTGCACTAATGCTAAGATGTGAATTGTTTCGTGCAAACATGGAGGCATCTTCAAAGGTAGCTCAGAATGTTGCCAATAAGGTTCGAAAGGCCAAGCTAGCGTTTGTTCCGCCTCATGGAACTCCAACTTAGCTCACCAAAATAGCACTCTCTTGTGTTCCTTTAGATAGTAACATAGAGATGAGGTGTTGAGGACAAAGCCTAAAATGATGCTAAAGAAAGGTTGTATTGTGGGGTGCCGATAACGGCACCGGTACGGTAACCTTCGCGAGAATGTACGAAGCCTCGCCTTGGTGGGTGTCCCATCTTAACTGGCTTATTGTTTGGATCTTTTTTGGATCTTTTCTCTTCAGGCCACAAAAACCTTTCTCCAGCCACAAAAACCATCACCTGTGCAACGTAACTGACCATGGCAGATTCAACATCCGCAACTACTTCCACCATTTCTTCTCCTGAAGCCGTTCTCAAAGCCAAAGACAATGAGGCACTGGCAGCAATGCGCGGAAGAGACTGCCTCAAGGCATTTTCGGGACAACGAGCAGCCATTTCCTTTACTGGTGGCAAGGACTGTCATTTGGCGTTGCAACGGTGCGTCGATGCCGGCATTGAGATAGTCTGTGGTTGCAGCTTTGTCTCTCCCGGTCATTCCTTTCAAGCTCACCGCATGGAATGGCAGCAAACGCAAGGCAAGACCATGGGGATACCCATTATTCAGTGTCCACTCACAGAGTTGGAGTCAAATAATAATGACTACAAGGCTGCCTATGCCGCCGCCATTCGAAAACTACAAGAGGACTGCAAGATCCAGCTCATTATTACAGGAGATATTGACTATGTCGGAACATCCACCACCAATTTTATGCAACAAGTTTGTATCGAAAAAGACACACGGGGTGTGCAAGTCCTACTGCCACTCTGGCAACAATCTCGACAAGACCTGCTCGAGGAGATGTTGCATACATGCCAGTTGGATATACGCCTTTGCTGTGTCAAATCACCTCATTTTGACGCAACTTGGATTGGTCGGCAATTGGATGACAAGGCCGTGAACGAACTCAAGGCCAAAACGGAACATGGCTTGGATTTATCGGGCGAAAATGGAGAGTATCATACCATGGTGGTTGGCGGACCCATGTACAAGAACACGCCATTAGAGTTTGTCAATGTAAAAGCCAAGGAGCTGCTGCAGCAACGAGGGCAAAAGGAAGGCGAACAATGGTGGGTTATGAGTGAAACATCAAAATTGCAGCCCCGAGAACGATGATAAATAAAGCACTGGCTTGCTAATTACTTGCAGACAGCTGAACCGTCTCGTAAAGCAAAACGTATAGCAGCTACCAATTCCTGTGGGAGCAACTAGTAGCGTGGGTACAATTATAGAAATAGTGAACTAAAAGACTGCAGTACTCGCGATTGATCAAGCTGTTTGGGCCGACAACAGTCGACCTGGTAATCCCGACCACTGTCCATCTCACCGGCACGAGATGCATTCGAGGTCTTGTGCCACAAGTCACCACGGAAGCGATCGCTGTGTTACTTCGAGCTTTTTTCTAAAACTCTCCCGAGGGTCCATTGCAATGACCTCTGAGCCCTTCGTTCGAGTGGCAATGAGACATGACAGACGATCCAGTAAGTAGAGTTGATCAAAGAGGATAGTCCAGTGAAGGCGTCGAAATCTCTTTCCCCAAGTTGATCAAGGGCTCTTAATGCCAAGCAACTTCCCGAAAGCGCACTCGATAATAATGGGCACAAAAGAGGACCACCAAAACGATTGCAGACAGCAACTCGTTCAGCAAGGCACTCCTCCTCGCCGTTGGTTCCATCGACGAGGTAGAATTGGTCTTAACGTAGACTGTATCCGCAACACCAGGAAACGCCAAAGTTCCAAACTCCATCTCCGACCACCAGCAAGCCAATGCCAGCAGCAGAAGTCCCGATATTCAGCGGTATGAGGGCGTATAGCGAGAGTTTTACTGGAGTAGTCATGATGTTCTACGTATGGAGGTAAACGATATGGGCGGTATCGTTGATGATGGAGGTGATGGAGACGAGAACGCATCCACGATCCACGGTAGAAAGCCACGATGATTCACAGGGAGAAACTGTAGGATTGATTCGATTCGATTCGATTCTCTAGTAGCCATGACACCACTGAACCAAACAGTGATGAGCAAACATCAAGAAAACGTGGCCAGACAAGAAAGGAGGTGGCAGCATTTGAAGAAAACGGGGGGTCTAGCTAGAGAGTCTAGATTAGGCGGATTATCTACGGAAGCCAGCTAGCCCGCCCTGCCGTAGCCTGTAGCCTCGTAGCCCTGCATCTACAAGCAAGCTCTGGTACCAGGTACTAGCTAGTACGTTCAAGCAATGACATGTTTTCGGTTAGTTTTCGGTCCGGAGACCGGAGAACCGGAGAGCGAAGAAAGACAAATATAGCCACATGATCAATGAAAAAGCCCCAACAACTCGTGAATGGCTTACGCTGCATAGGTAGGTGCGCTGGTCCTCCATGCACCGGTACCGGTATGTATGTATGTGTAACAATAACAGTGTGTAAAAGCTTTCATGCAAACGTTCAAATTAAATTTGTCCCTGACCTTGCAGCCATGGTTGAACTTGACTCCTGGACCGTCGGACGGTTTTCACTCAGGATTTAAAAAGCTTCCACGACTGACAAAAAACTTGACCAGCACAATTAAGGGATTGTTTCTTTAGGGATTGTTTAAGGGAGAGTCAAAGATTTAAGGGATTGTTGTTAAGGGATTGTTTATTTAAGGGATTGTTTAGGGGATAGTTGAAGAAATAGGGGATAGTTGTATGGTATTTCCATTTGGCGTTAAGGGATTGTTTTGGGGATAGTCCAAGATTTAAGGGATTGTTTTAAGGGATTGTTTCTTTAAGGGATTGTTTAAGGGATAGTTGATGAGTTAAGGGATTGTTTAAGGGATTGTTTTAAACGGTCAGTCAGTCGTGGAAATTTCAAGATTTTTTAAATCCTGTGTGAAAACCGTCGGACGGTCCAGCTGACTACATGTACCACCAGCATGCTCCAAACTATTTGATGAACTAACTGCAATAGATCGATCTACTGACTGCAATCGGTCCCCTTTTAGTTTGCTTGTGGAAGCCGCACGATCTACTCGAGAGTTGCATGTAGTATCAGCTTCCGCTCAATGGCATTGAAACGCCCAGCACAGCACGAGCTTTTCTTGCAGGTCCAAGCAACCAAACTCAAAGGCAAACACCCAACCAAGATCCGATTGGTGACCTGCAATCGCGGCCATCTATCTATGATAGCTTGGTCCAACCATGCTTGGCGACGTTTCTTGCCGTTTTGGGCAGGGTGCGATCCCGCCATCACTTGGCCCAAAAAGTGAGGCGCTGAAGAGGTAACCATTGTGGGACTCAATGGCATGCCTTCTTGCTAAGCCCCGACATTCTCCGCCCTAATCCCGAATTGAGGGTTTTTATCATTCGTGACAGAGATCATTCTGCGAGATGGGTTGAAAAAATGGAAGCAAATCAGTGTTAAGATATGCTCTTTGTGACGCTTTTCACCTTTCTTGGGGAAAGACACAAGGGGTGGGAAGCGCAGTATCTTTCCCAAACGTCGACCTGTAAAATGTATTGGTAGAGGTGCAGTGTATTCCTGCAATTCACTGGATCTTTGTACCAATCTGCACCCAACATACAATATCTTGGTTGGAGTTCCAAAATAAGTCACTCTGCAGTTGGATACTTAGACCAAGAGTCCTTACAATCTTCCCTTCTCCATGTCACTGGTCCCAATTAACCCCTAACTATCAACCACCCACTTGCCTTCTCCGCGCTCAATCGTACCTACAAAGAGATATGCCCTCAACCGGTCAATTAAGTGGTCACATATTTGTCGCGTTTTATGGTTTACTGTGCCAAAATTTGGCGTGGGAAGTCATTAGCATCTCACAAATTCGAAGAGACCCCACAATTTTGAACCACCCAGCGACCTTTACCTGGACAAAAAGCTTTCTTTCATCAATCCACAGCGTACTTTTACTGGGCTTTGTCTTCTTGGCTTCCTGCAAACCAGTTTGTTCCGCAAGATCTTGTCTGCTGCCCAATCGTCCAAGCTACTAGTCTATTAATAGAGAAGGACTAGTCTAGCTTCTACTAAAGATAAACATAGACACGATGACAATGATAAAGAGCAATCTGCTGGTCGGCTTGCTGCTGTTGCTAGGCAGCAGCTGGAGTGCTGCTGAATCTGGCAGCACCACTGTCAACCGCTTCAATCTACGACGCAATCATGGCAAGGTTACTCATACACCGGCAGCACATGTAGTACTACCACACAATCATCGTCATGCTGAACAACAACAACAAGACCAAGCCAACGCTGATCGCTCGGAGCGTCGCAATGAGATTCGTCACGCCAAACGTCGTCAATTGACGGCCGCACGAGCCGCCAAGAAAGCCGCCAAACAAGCCAAGAAGCGCCAGCTGCAATTGACACTGCAAGCCCCGTCGCAAACAGCCCTGGCGGTCACTCGTGCCAATACATGGTTGGCGCAACATCCCGACACGATCAATGGGACCATGAACGAAGTCCGTGCGCAGATTCTGACGGCCATGGTGGCATTCTACTACGAGACGGGTGGCGGTGATGACGAATGGACGACCAGTACCAATTGGTTGAGTTACACCGTCAACGAATGTCAGTGGTACAATCAAGCCGGAGAAGATTCCTGTAATGCGGCGCAATTGTTGGAAGAATTGGAGTTGGAAAGTAACGGATTGACGGGAAAGCTCTTGCCCGAAGTGGGCGATATGGTGACACTCAAAAAGTTGGATCTGGAAGACAATGACATTGGCGGATCCATTCCCAAAGAGATTGGGGGACTGCCGCTATTGGAAGAATTGACGTTGGAAGAGAATGAACTCACGGGAACCCTTCCTTCGGACATTGGCATGCTCTCCATGTTGGTGGAACTGTACCTGGATGAGAATATGTTGAACGGAACCATTCCCACAGAGTTTGGGAATCTCTTGGCATTGGAAGAACTCGATTTGGCGGAAAACGAACTCGTGGGAGTCATTCCCGAGTCCTTTGTCAATCTCACACGGCTCACATACTTGGATCTGTACTCCAACGAAGGATTGGGAGGAACCGTCCCCGTTGGCATTTACACCTTGCCCTTTTTGACCGACCTCGATTTGGAATTCTGTAGTTTTACCGGGACACTTCCCTCGGAAATTGGAGCATCCACGTCTCTGCTGGTCTTGGATCTACAAGACAACCTCTTGAACGGAACCATTCCCGCCGCCATTGGGAATGCCGTTCAGTTGGAGGAATTCATTGTCAAGAACAATGCATTGACGGGAAGGATCCCGTCCGAATTGCTTCTCTTGACCAACTTGAAGAACTTTGAATTGGCCGAGAACTTGCTCCAGGGATCGCTGCCCTTTCGACTCTGGGGAGACATCCTCGACTTTGTTGAAATCGAGTTGCTCAACCTCACGGCCAACGCCACCCTGGAGCTGATTGACGACATTCTCACCAACTTGACCAGTCTCGAAGAAGTTGATTTCAGCGAGAATCGACTGTCGGATCTCGTGCCGGACGAATGGATCTTCATGACCAGCTTGCGCCTCTTGGATTTGTCTGACAATCAGTTCTTTGGGCCTTTGCCGTTTGACGCGGCGTTGATGGAGAACCTCACAACGATTGGAGGTGTCGATCTGGCACCCAATCTCACCAGCCTCAATCTGGGACAGAACCTGTTCACGGGAACCATCCCCGATGAACTCTTGGCGTTTACATCACTCGAGATCCTCAACATGGAACAGAATCGACTCATTGGGTCCATTCCACCCAACCTTTGGATCACTGCCAACCTCACATCGGTCAATCTCGGTAACAATGGCCTAACCGGAACCCTGCCCTTTCAATTGGAACTTGCCAAGAAGCTCGAAGAGGTCCGGTTGGGATTCAACCAAATGGGTGGACCTATCCCCAATGGCATTGGACTCATGACGAGCTTGCAGATTCTCGACCTACAGAGCAACGCATTTGCTCAATTGTTCACATCGCCACTGGCATCGTTGCCCAGTCTCAAGGAACTCTACTTGACCAACAACTCGTTCATCAGTCAAATCCCCGTTCAAGTCTGGAGCAATAACTTGACCATTCTCGAGTTGGGCGACAATGACTTTACCGGAACACTCCCCAGTCAAATGGGTATGGCCACATCGATGCTCCAGTTGAATATCAGTGCCAACGACTTGCGCGGCACCATCCCCGATGGTATTAGTGGCATGACTAGTTTGACATCGTTGGACCTCAGTGGCAACCGATTGCTTGGAAGCATCATTCCGGCCATGACCCGATTGCAAGACCTCGAAGTATTGAATCTGGCCGACACAATGATGACGGGAAACATTCCCGCCCTCCTTGCCCAAGTGTCCGGTCTGAGGGTCCTCAATGTGAGCAACACTCAAATGAGCGGAATCATTCCGGATTCCATTTGTGCCATTGAGGAGCTCATCTTTACGTGTGGTCCCGATAGTGGGCTGTGTGGTTGTGGCATTTGTATCTGCGTCAGTGGACGTGAGGATAACCAACCCAGTCCTCCCGTCACACTCCTGCCGACCACGCTACGACCCACCGCGCAGCCAACACGAACCCCCACCAAAATGCCCACGAACCAACCGACTCGAACGCCCACAAGAAACCCGACCGCAAGACCAACTAGGAGGCCGACACGACGACCCACGAGGAATCCTACCCGACGACCAACGAGAAGGCCTACAAGATTCCCAACTAGAAGGCCGACTCGAACGCCCACAAGAAACCCGACCCGAACACCAACGAGGACTCCAACTCGAAACCCGACGAAAATGCCCACACCTGTGCCTTCGTCTTCACCATCAAGGTCCCCTTCGAATTCACCATCAAGGTCGCCATCGGTGTCGCCTTCGAATTCGCCATCAACGTCTCCTTCGAATTCGCCGTCGACGTCCCCGTCGAATTCACCAACTCTTTCCAACGCCCCCAGTATTAGTCAGAAGCCAAGCGTCAGTAGTCGACCCAGTGTTAGTTCCGCACCTAGTGGACAGCCATCCATCAGTCACATGCCCTCGGTGAGTAATGCGCCAAGCCAAAGTTCGAAACCGAGCGTCAACAGCAACAGCCCTAGCGATGTCCCAAGCTTGAACCCAAGTGGTCCAGAAAGTGCAAGCCCCAGCAACATCCCAAGCACAGTTCCCAGCTCCAACCCAAGCGGCCCTGAAAGCGCAAGCCCTAGCAATGTCCCAAGCTTGAACCCAAGCGGTGGAAGCGCAAGCCCTAGCAACGTCCCAAGTGGAAACCCAAGCGGGGGCAGTGAAAGTCCAAGTGTTGTTCCCAGCAATGTGCCCAGTGGGAATCCGAGCGGGGGCAGTGAAAGTCCAAGCGTCGTTCCCAGCAATGTGCCCAGTTTGGTTCCAAGTGGTATTCCTAGTGTTGTTCCCAGCAATGCGCCCAGTCCTGTTGCCAATAATGCTGCTGCTGTACAAGATACGCCCAATCCCACTCCCCAACCTACGTTTAACCCTACAGATGGGGAAACTGACGAGCCAACAGCAGAACCTACGTTTTAAAAAGCGTGGCTGTTCCCCTCACATCACTGAAGGAAATGAGAGATGGGGCGACCCTGTATGGAAACCACCGAACGGGAGTAGCGGTGATTGGTTTTGTGTTGACAGCGTGATGAATGAAAGGGTAGAGATGCAAGTGTTGTTTGTCTGCACTCTGCTGTTAAATACATAAAGGAATAACAAACTACATAGTGATTTTAAAGATTGCCAACTCTAGCTAGCTAGCGAGTAGGTAGGAGTGTCTGTTTCGTTCTCTGGAGCCTTGCCGTTCAATCACCAAACTTTGTGACTCGTTCTTTGGCGTTTCCTGGCCAATACTACCGGGAGGAAAGCGAAGTCGTCTTGTTCCGCTTTGCGCTTTGCGGCTACGACAGTACAATCTCCTCCATCTAACATCAGCACTAATGATAAACCAACACAAACCCCGCGTTATGGAACAAGAGCTAAGCCAAACTGTCGATTGGACAACTGTTGGAATAAGGTTGGATCTCTTTTTAAAAAGTATGAACAAATGTCTAGTAGAAGGCTGGGTGCTCGCTCGCCACGCAGGCCTTGCAGTGGCTGATCCAAACCACTTTTAGCCGCAGTAAACCAGGATCAAGCATGTCCACGCATCCCAACAGCGACATTCATACAGCGATCTCCAAAAACCAAACTGGAGATGCAAAATAATGAATTACAGAGAACCAAAGCAGATCCCACAGAAACTTCCAACGCACCGCGACAGCAATCTACCCTCCCAAAACTATATACAGCAGCCACAATGCATCATTTGCGAACAGAACGAGAATCAAATAGAACAACTGGGTCCTTGCTTGACTCGACTCGAACAAAACAGATGATTGGGCCGTCCCTGAAGTGCGCTTCTTCATCCAAAATGGAACCATGTTCGGATCGTTTAGAGCCAGTCGTCGAGGAAACCAAGAGCCTTCAGCCACCAATTTTTCTTTAGTGAAGATTCCTCATTCTGATTCTGAGGTCGAGCAGCAGGAGGGGCAGTGAAAGCATTGGCCGATGCAGACGGCACTGAGGTTGTTGGCGGAAC